TATATATATATATTTGATTTCATGTCATTTCATAATGCTTTGAACATTTTCTGATAAAACAACGATAATGATTCTACAGAATTTGAGAAAAGACTTTTTAGTATTAGGCAATCATTTTCCACCAAGCTATAAGCTTAGATATGTACCCGAATTTTAGCATTCGACTTTTTGTATTTAAGATGATAAACTATATTCCTTACCCTCCAGCTGCAAGTGAACAGCCACCTGTGAACGCCACTGAATGTGTTCCCTTCCGACACGATGGAGAAATCGTGAGCGGATGCGTTGGCGAAGAAGGGGTGGAGGAGACAATCGAAATGGAGGGAGAAGGAGGAGTGATAAACAGGGAGACAGTGAGCGGCAGATGGTGCGCCTCAGAGGTAGACGAGAATCTGAATGTAGTGAAAGTTATAGCCTGCCCGACCATGCCCCGTAAGTGGAATTTCATATATATATATATATATATAATATAATATATATATATATATATATATATATATATATATATGTATATATATATATTTATATTATATTATATATATGCATATATGCTCGTATGTATGTATATTTGTGTGTGCATTGGTTCGTGAGAAGAAAATGAAGGTCTTTGTCATTTCCGAATATCTTGATATTTCTAGATATATTTTAAAAATCACATTTTCCCTTTCAGCTGTAACTGAACTGCCACCTTCAGTAACTTCCAGCGAATCCCCAGGTGAGAATGTGAACCTCTTATGTGTAATCATGTTGACATTTGTGGTTTTGACCATGCACTGTCAGTGACACTTACGGACAGAAATGCACTTACCAGTGAATACTATAAATTCAGATCCCAGTACTGTATGCTGATTTAGATATCTGCATGTATATATATATATATATATATATATATATATATATATATATATATATATATATATATATATATATATATATATTATATATTTGATTCTCAATGTCATTTCATAATGCTTTGAACATTTTCTGATAAAACAACGATAATGATTCTACAGAATTTGAGAAAACTTTTTAGTATTAGGCAATCATTTTCCACCAAGCTATAAGCTTAGATATGTACCGAATTTTAGCATTCGACTTTTTGTATTTAGATGATAAACTATATTCCTTACCCTCAGCTGCAAGTGAACAGCCACCTGAACGCCACTGAATGTGTTCCCTTCCGACACGATGGAGAAATCGTGAGCGGATGCGTTGGCGAAGAAGGGGTGGAGGAGACAATCGAAATGGAGGGAGAAGGAGGAGTGATAAACAGGGAGACAGTGAGCGGCAGATGGTGCGCCTCAGAGTAGACGAGAATCTGAATGTAGTGAAAGTTATAGCCTGCCCGACCATGCCCCGTAAGTGGAATTTCATATATATATATATATATATATATATATATATATATATATATATATATATATATATATATATGTATAATATATATATATTTATATATATATATGCAATATGCTCGTATGTATGTATATTTGTGTGTGTGCATTGGTTCGTGAGAAGAAAATGAAGGTCTTTGTCATTTCCGAATATCTTGATATTTCTAGATATATTTTAAAAATCACATTTTCCCTTTCAGCTGTAACTGAACTGCCACCTTCAGTAACTTCCAGCGAATCCCCAGGTGAGAATGTGAACCTCTTATGTGTAATCATGTTGACATTTGTGGTTTTGACCATGCACTGTCAGTGACACTTACGGACAGAAATGCACTTA